TCAGTATTATAATACGTAATCACATATGAATCAATGTAAATTAGCCTATAAGACTGTGAGATCACAAAACTATAGGACTAGTTTCAAGACTATCCCTAAAAAGTCTGGTTCCGAACCAGTTCATTGTGAACTACTTAACATCCTAACTGCATTAGTGAGACGCTTATCTTGTTGACTAATTTGGCAAATCTTACGAATCATACATAGTACTATTGTCTTTACACAATGATAATATGCAGGGCTTAATGCAGGTAAAAAATCAATGAAATATTATTCATAATCCTTGTTGCTGTTGTACTATAGGTATTAAGGGTGTCTGGAATTCTGCAATTTTTATCCATTATTTTCCATACATAATTGTACAGATTTTCTGGCCGACACTACTAATATTATTAAAGACAATCGTCAAGCATTGTTTTGAGTTAACAAAAGCTAATGTACAGGTTCTGTACAAGGTTAATCATTAGTATAAATACAACTAATAAAAATATGCTATCTAACTGCGAATTCTGCAAATTGGTGAATTCTACAAATTCTGCAAATTCACTGCAAAATTCGCAATTGCAGAATTCTGGACACCGGTATACTAATAAAAAATAAAATAAATATTTTTAAGTGATAGTGTTCTTTGATCAAACAGGCATGAGTTAACGATACAAAAAAAAAAACTCCTAACTTAAAGATTTAAAATTTCATTTATAATGATATTCGATTTTTAGATCAATTCTTACTATTAAATTGGATATAGTAATTTTTTTCGCAATAGTGATAACTTTAAAAGTATATTTAAGATTAGTTACTTTGATAAATCTTTTGATACACTATACCAAAATATCATAAACCCGAAAGTATGCACTTTTAAATAGATTTGTTTCTAACTAAAAAAATTTCAATAATATGTGTCATAGTATAATAATACTATTGTTGCAATTTTTCAATAACATTTTTTTTCGATATCACTTTTTTTATAGTTTTTTTTTATATCATTGTTTTTTTTCGATATCATTGTTTTAGTATCAAATTATTTTCTCACAGCTATGCATTTGGCGATGTATCAAATTTTTTTAAGAATTTTAAAATTGTATCATATATACGTAATATTGATACAAATTTATATATAATTAGTTGCAAAAACATCTTATTATTTTTAAACCAAAGCTTTGTATCAATATGAATAATCAGACATACGATCTTACAAGCCCGAATAATCAGACATATGATCTTACAAGCCCGAATAATCAGATATACAATCTTACAAGCCTGAATAATAATGAACCTACATTTGAACTGGGTAATATAAATACTTCTGACGAAGAATCCTCTGATCAGTTAGGTCATTAACACAAGAGAGAAAAAGAAAGCATGCTGAAGGTAAAAAAATTGACAATGTGTGGAACGATGTTATTAAAGGCGATACCATAGGACGAGGTTTTTATAAAGCAAATTGTAAATGATGTTCTACAAGTTGGCCAAGGGGGCATCCACATGACATGAAAGTTCACTTAGCTAGAAATTGTGATAATGCACCTGATAATATAAAAATAAAATCGTGAGACTATTTAGCAGAAGGTAGCTCAAAACCAACAAAACATATGAAACAATTAAATATTACTATGCATTATCAACATGTTGCACCTATTTCTGACACTCGAGCCAATGAACTCAATCAAGCAATTCTTAAAGCATGAGTGTGCTGTGGATTTTCTTTTTGTACAATAGAAAATCTATTTATTATCGATCTTTTTAAACTTGCTATTCCAGGTTACACTTTACCATCATATGCTATTCTTTCTGGCAAACTTTTAGATCAAGAAACTTCTAAGATTGAAAAGAAAATTGAAAGTGAATTAGAAAAAGAAAAAAATCTTACACTAAATAAGTTTAAATTCTAAAATAATATTTTAATTATAATTACCCATTGTAATAATTTAATTTATTTAGATCTTGATGGATGAACTTCTCCACGAGAAGATTCGATCTATAATTATATAGTTTTTTTTTTTGGTATTAAGGTGACCTCTTTGGTCTTTTGACTTTTATTAATCACTTGTTGGCATTGTGGTTTAGTGAACCACTACAGGAGAGCGTACAATTGGCTACATGTGTAACTTTTCTATATTACCTATTTAAGGAGTCCGCCCGAA